AAAGAAATTATTTTACTGAATTATCTAAGAAATAAAGAAAAGAATTAATGTTTGAAACCATTGTTATCGGGCCTGTATTTTCCCGGTACAAACTTGTTATAGTATTTGAAAGATAACTGTGAAATTTGGTGAAAACGGAGTTTATTTGCTGTGAGTTGGACTTCTGGTTGAAGAGCTATAAACTTTGAGAGTTCTTGATGAAAATGTTGAGTTTTGAAGTTTAATTCATGATTTTACATGTTATTTTGATGATGTGATCACACGAGTAGGTCCATATGATGTCTTTGAGTTGGTATGCACACTTGGTTTGGAGTTCCGAGGGCTCGGGTGAGTTTCAGGTAGGTTCCGGGATGTCTTAGGCTTAAAAACATAGTTGTTGCAGGTTCAGAGAAGTGGAAGGCCTCTGAACAAACCAGTATGGTCCGCACAAAAAGTAATGTTGCCGTGGAGGGGCTTGTGCGGCCGCACTGGATTTTGTGCGGACCACGATGAGGGCTTTGCTGCCACACTAGATTCTGTGAGGTCCGCGGTGAAGAATATTTCATTGGTCCGACTTTGGAAGCCTATATCTTTTAATCTACAAGGAATTTTGAGATTATTCAAAAACAAAGGCTGTAGTCCTTTGTGTCTAGTTTCCAGAAAAGTAAAGAAATCACAATTTAGACATTTGTAAAAAAGGTTATGACCAAAATACTAAAGCATGTCACTGCAGTCCACATGGGAGCTGTGCGGCCGCGGTTGATTTTGTGCGGTCCGCACAGGGCATCTGAGAGTAGTATATTTAGATGGGATTTTTAGTTATTTTTCATTTTTCAAAACCCCAAAAATATAAGAGGCAATTTTTCAAACAACCTTTCTTCTCCAAAACATTGGTAAGTGATTTCTAACTCATTTTCTTCACTCCTTAACATCTTTTATCATGATTTCAACTCAAAATCAATGTTTTTCATGAGGGAAATTGGGTGTTATGGCTAGAACCTAGGTTTTTCAAAAATTGGGGATTTGGACCTCGATTTGAGGTCCGATTTCAAAACAAATTATACATTTGGGTTCGTGGGGGAATGGGTAATCGGTTTTGGTTCGAACCTCGGGTTTTGACCATGGGGCCCGGGGGCGAGTTTTGACTTTTGAGTAAAAAATTGGAAAACTCATTTTCATGCATTGGGGTTGATTCACTTAGCGTTTATTGATATAATTAAGTAACTTGTGGCTAGATTCGAGCGAATTGGTGGTGGAATCAAGGGGTAAAGCTATAATTGAAACGTGAATTGTGTTCGTGGCATCGAGGTAAGTGTTTGGTCTAACCTTAGCTTAAGGGATTAGGAGTTGAGTCTTATTTGATACATGTTAATTGTGGAGTACGACGTATAGGCATGGTGATGAGTATCTATACGTTGGTGTCAAGCATGCTCGTGAGCCTTGTATTATAATTGTTAGGACTCTATTGTGGTTTATTGCGCTTCATACATTATTATCACCATTATTCCCTTGCCGGAATTTTTGTTTGATATTAATGATCCCTTGTCAGGATGTTTGTTTTGATAGTATTGTACCCTTGTCGGGATGTTGTTGAAATATCATTGTTCCCTTACCGGGAAGTAGTTATATTACTTTTATTCCCTTGCCGGGATTCCTTGTGATTATTGTTGGCTTGTAACTGGGAGCGGATGGTGCGTCTACCACAAGATATAATGAAATGGGAGTGGGTGGTACGCTTACCACAAGATATAATGAAATGGGAGCAGGTGGTACGCCTACCACAAGATATAATAAAATGGGAGCGGGTGGTATGCCTACCACAAGGAATAATGAAATGGGAGTGGGTGGTACGCCTACCAAAAGATATAATGAAATGGTAACGGGAGGTATGCCTACCATACGATATGATGAAATGGGAGCAGGTGGCACGCCTGCCACGAGATACAGGAATTGGGATCGGGTTGCACGCTTACAATAAGATGTGAAAAGAAAATAAAATCTGCCTTCGTTTTCCTTATTCTTGTTAGTGGTTGATTTTGATTCCTCTATAATTCTCTTGATATTCTGTTTTACCTGTTATTCCCCGAAGCATGTTTTCCCCTCCTATATTATTTGTTTATTTCTATATTTTGTTTTCCGCTGTATATATATTTGAACTGTACAGGTTTATTTGGTAGTCTGGTCCTAGCCTCGTCACTACCCCACCGGGATTAGGCTAGACACTTACCAGCACATGGGGTCGGTTGTGCTGATACTACACTCTGCACTATGTGCAGACAGCTTTTGGACCGTAGTGTGGAGGCTACCTTCAGTCCACACAGAGATCCAAGGTAGACATGCAGGCGTCCGCAGGCCCTAGCGTCTCCCTTTATCCCTATTTCCTGTTTCATTTTCCTTTTATTCAGAAACAGTGTATTATTATTTCTTCAGACCTTGTATGTAGAAATCTTAGACAGTTTGTGACACTGTGACACCAGGTTTTGGGTGGTTAACGCTTAAGTATTTGTAATAGATGCATTTTTCATAAATCTTATTGTTGTTTTCCGCATAAATTTGAATTTTCGTTGTTACCACTTTATCGTCTTATATTTGTTAAAAAGAAATAATTGGTTAATGAAATAATTAGATTAAAGATTTGGCTTGGCTAGCTCACATTAGTAGGTGCCATCACGACTTTTGAGGGTGAAAAATCCGGGTCGTGATAGCACACAAGTCCAAAAACATCATACGAACTCGCTCGCACGATCAAGATACCAAAATAACTCCTAGAACTATGAATCGAACACCAAATCAAATGAAATTTTCAAGAAAACTTTAAAACTTCCATTCTAACAATTGAATGTCTTAATCACGTCAAACCAACTCCGTTTCTCACCAAATTTGACAGACAAGTCATAAATATAGTAATGGACTTGTACCAAACTCCGAAATTGAAATACGGATTTGGTATCAACAAAACCAAACATCGGTCAATTCTTAAAAATCATTAAACCTTTAAACTTTCAATTTTCGACAAAAATTAGCAACTCAAGCTAGGGACCTCCGAATTCGATTTCGGACATAGGCTCAGGTCCCAAATCACGATACGGACCTACCAAGACCGTCAAATCTGGGTCCGTTGGCTCAAAATGTTGGCCAAAGTCAACTCAAATGAATTTGTTAAGCAAAATTTCATATTTTATTAGCTTTTTAACATACCTTCCAGAAAAATACTCGAACTGCACACGCAAATCAAGGAAGGCTTAAGGAAGATATTGGAGTCTTCGAAACATAGAATTAAGTTCTAAAACTCTAGATGACCTATCAGGTCATCACAGAATCCCATAGTTCTTTAATATTTAAAGCTTAAAATTCTTGTTTTGTGATGGAAAGTAGAAGGCTTATGATCCATTATTGTTAAAATTATTTTAATATTGATAAATTTATGCTCAGATTTTTAGTTCAAATATCGATTTAGTGATTTACTATAAAAAGCTCAAAACTATTGTTTGACTTTAGAAAGCATTGAAGAAGATAAAGTGGGTCTTTTTGATTTGGTGTTATTTGACTAAATTCGTAATTTAGAAATATTTGTATTGGTATTTGGATGCTTTGTTTCAAATTTGAGATAATTAGGAGCATATATAGGGTGGTTTGATCGGAATTGATGTCGCGAATTCAAAAAATACTTTGTTAAAACAACACAGAAAAATTAACAAAAAACTAGTAGATTAGCTCTTCCATCCAAGCACTTGTGGATGTTAATGGTAAGATTCAATCTGTTATTTTAAGAAGTTTGTATCTTATCAATATTTGGTAAATTTTATCATGCATAACCAAAATTACATATAATTTTAAAACTACCACCATATCTTAGTTTTTCTATGGTATTGATTTGGTTAAAACAATTTTTGATATTTCTATAGCAGAAGAATTGCAAGAATCTCAATGATTTTCATATGTCTCATTTGTTATTATATAATATGACAAATCACTTTAATATATCACAAGAACCAATTAAAAAATTTTATTAAAAAAAGTACTTAGCGATACTAAGATTAAATTAGTAGATCAAAATAATAACTTTCAAAGAATACCTACTTTGAAATATCTTGTTATTTTCCATTTCTTTATTTGGTATTGAAAGGAAATATATCATTATTACATAACAAAATGGCTATAAGGAGCATTGTGTAATTACTTAGACACCATATGAGTACATAAGTTTTGTTACATTGGAGGATCAAGGATCCTCATTGCTACTTGTTTGATGTTTACACAAAAGCTTACTAGTAGATGGCATAGAGGACGGGTGAGATTGTGAAGTTAAATTTCCAAAAAAGTGTTCTTAGGACTGTAAAGTAGTGGTTGAGACCAGGCGAAGTATTGGTATTCCTACTTGATCATCATGCAAAATCTAAAGAAGCGAGTATGAATGTTCCCAAAAAGATGAAGCCTGACTCCAACTTGATAAGGCTAAAATACACATAGTTTATCTAGATAGGTCTCTGTATTTGAAATTGTAGCAGATTATATTTTCCCTTATCTCTAAGATTCTTTTATGTATAACAAACGCTCTCATCTACTGCTATTGTACCTATTTATACTACTCTGTTATACTCAATAAGATATGAAGCCTTTCACAATTCAATCTCTTCTCTTATATGGTATCAAAGCCTTCTAAAAACTCACACGAGTTACTCTTTTATTTTTCCAGAATGGGTAATTAACAGACCCACTCTTCCGCAACCTCGTCTACTTCCCCCACTGTCACAATTAGTCATGGGAAAATTGCTCAACCATCCCAACTAATTTCATTCAATACATCATCCCAACTCCCTTTGAAATTGCAAGGGAGTTACAACTACTGTACTTGGAAATCACAAGTCATAACTCTTCTCTTTGGTTATGATCTTCTTGGGTATATGGATGGGTCACTTCCCCCTCCATCCGTGCATATCCAAGATGGAACAAACAATGAATATCCCAACCACACGTTCAAGCTTTGACAGAGATAGGATAGCCTTGTCTGTAATGCTATAATGGCTTCAATCAATCCTACAATCTCTTCTCTTGTTGCACATGCTGCCACTGCTAAACACGCTTGGGAAAATCTTCAAACTACTTATGCCAACAATTACCAGCCACGTATCTTCAGCTTGTGTGACACTCTTGCTAATCTCAAACGAGACCCACGCTCCATTAGTGAGTACATGAAGGATATTAAATCCATTTCAGACAATCTTGCATCCAGTGGCTCACCTCTCTCAAATGAGGATCTTATCATCAAAATCCTAAGTGGTCTAGAATCTGAGTACAAAGAACTATCTGCTGCGATAAGGGCTCGAGATAACCCAATATTGTTTGAAGAGCTCTATGACAAATTGCTTGCGCATGAGATGTTTATTAAACACTTGGTGCCAAAGCTTGAAAACCCAATCATCACTGCCCAGGTTTATCAAAATTCAGCCAACCCAAACTCAAAATCCAGGAACTATAATCCAAGAAACAACCGCAAGGGTCCCATTCAGAAGACTTCAACCAACCAAAGCACCAACTCCTTCTAGAATTTCAACTCCTTCCACCCCAACAACCGCAGAAACCAGCGGAGAGTCCAATGCCAATTATGTGACAAATTTGGGCATATCGCCAAAGTCAGTCGCTCAAAATCACATAGTGCACTTGAGGCTCAATCCAACTTCACCAACCGCATATCCTATGCATATAATCCCTCAAACAATTAGATTGTTGACTCTGAGCATCACACCATATCACAAATAATTCACAACCTCTATAATTTGTAACAGAATTCCGTGGCACTAATGAAATAATTGTTGGAGCCTACATACCTGATACGCCTACTACTACCACTATTCCAGCTTTTTAGGAGACCCTTGCACAGTTCATGAGTATGTACACCACTCTAGCTCAGGCAGGGTTGATTCCCCTTACTACAGCTACATCCTAGGCTGGGGAGGAGCACAGACTTCCGCCGCCCGCACTTCTGAGTAGCGGGTCCAAGTTGATCAGATCCTAAAAGTTATACCGGCACCGCCTGTAGCCCAGTTCAGCCCGAGGACAGGGCATCAGCTTCAGAGGATGAGCAACAGAGGCTTGAGAGGTTCAAGAAGTACAAGCCTCATGTATTCAGTGGTCTAGCATCAGATGATGCTCTGGTATTTCTGGAGGGGTGCTACCGTATCCTCGGCACTATGGGTATATCAAGATTGAGTGGGGTTTCTGCCTTCCAGCTTCGAGGAGCATCCTACCAGTGGTTGCGTACTTTTGAGTTGGACAGCCTAGCTGAGGTAGCTTCCCTTACATGGACCCAATTTTTAGATATATATTTGAGGGAGTATCTTCCTCAGAGCCTTAGGGATGCATGGCATGCAGAGTTTGGGCATTTACGACAGGGTACTATGACTGTTTCGAAGTATGCTATCTATTTCACTGACTTGTCTAGGCATGCACCAACCTTGGTTTCTACAGTTCGTGAGAGAGTTCGCCGGTTTATTGAGGGGCTCATTCCCAGCATCAGGTCTAGCATAGCTCGGGAGTTGGAGATGGATATTTCTTATCAACAGGTGGTGAGCATTGATAGGAGAGTTGAGGGTATGCATGATCGGGATAAAGAAGAGAGGGAGGTCAAGAGGTCACGAGAGTCGGGCCATTATTCTGGTGTTTGTGCCCTAGCTGCAATTCATCATGGTAGGGGTTATATGAGTTGCCCCGTTCATTCAGCTCTCCCAGCATCCAGTGGTATTCCAACTCCTCCTAGACCTTAGGATCCTTATTATGCACCTCCAGTATCTAGTGTGCTTCCTGCACGGGGTGCTTTCAGTGGCCAGTCCAGCAGACCTGGCTCGAGCCAGTCACAACCGTTGTGCCCTCCTAGACCTTGTTTTGAGTGTGGATACATACGCCATATGGTGAGGGATTGCCCCAGACTTAGGAGGAGTGCACCTCCATAAAATTCCCATCCATAGCATGCCCGCAGAGTTCCCCAGCTATGATTACAACACCAGTTGCTACCCCACCTGCCCAGCTAGCTAGAGGTGGAGGTCGGGGAGTTAGAAATCGCCCTAGAGGGGGAGTTCAGGCTAGATATTATATCTACCTATACTGAGGTTCTCACCTCCGATTCTGTCATCACAGGTATTGTCCGGGTTTGTCATAGAGATGCATTGGTTTTATTCGATCCAAGCTCCACTTATTCTTATGTCTCCTCTTATTTTGCCCTACATTTGGGCGTATCTCGGGATTCTTTGAGTTCCCCTATTTATGTTTTTATTCCTGTGGGAGATTCTCTTATTGTGAACCGCGTTTATCGGTCGTGTTTGATTACTCTTAGTAGTTTTGAGAGCAAAGCCAATTTATTATTGCTCAGCATAGTAGATTTTGATGTTATATTGGGCATGGACTGGTTTTTTCCCCATTTTGCTATTCTTGATTATCATGCCAAAACTGTGACATTGGATATGCCAGGTGTATCGCGAGTAGAGTGGAGGGGTAACTTAGATCACACTCCAAGTAGAGTTATTTCATTTCTTAAAGCACAGCGAATGGTTGAGGAGGGGTGTGACGCGTATCTAGCTTATATGAGAGATATCAGTATTGATACCCCCACCGTTGATTCAGTCCCAGTAGTACGGGATTTCTCTGATGTGTTTCCAGTTGACCTTCTGGGTATGTCACCCGACAGAGATATTGATTTCGGCATTGATTTGTTGCCGGGCACTCAGCCCATTTCTATTCCTCCTTATTGTATGGCCCCTCCTAATTTGAAGGAGTTGAAGGATCAGTTATAGGAATTGCTTGATAACGGTTTTATTTAGCCCAGGGCTGCTTCTGTCTTATTTGTAAAGAAAAAGGATGGTTATATGCGTATGTGCATTGATTATCGCCAGTTGAACAAAGTCACAGTGAAGAACTGGTATCCTTGCCTCGTATTGATGATTTGTTTGACCAGTTATAGGGTGCACGAGTGTTTTCTAAGATTGAATTGCATTCAGGTTACCATCAGTTGAAGATTCGGGAGCCAGATATCCCGAAGACTACTTTCAGGACTCGGTATGGTCATTACAAGCTCCTTGTTATGTTATTTGGACTAACCAATGCCCCAGCAGCCTTCATGTATTTGATGCACAGTGTGTTCCAGCCATATCTTGACTCGTTTGTCATTGTCTTTATTGATGATATTCTGCTATACTCCTGGAGTCGGAAATATCATGAGCAACACCTGAGGATAGTGCTTCAGAGTTTGAGAGAAAAGAAGTTATAAGCAAAGTTCTCGAAATGTGAGTTCTTCTTGGATTCCATGGCATTCTTGGGTCACATGGTATCAAGTGAGGGGATAAAGGTGGATTCGAAGAAAGTGGAGCAGTGCAGAGTTGGCCCAGACCATCATCAGCTACAGAGATCCGTAGTTTTCTTGGCTTGGCAGGTTATTACTGTCGATTTGTAGTGGGGTTTTCATCTATTGCAGCACTTATGACCAGACTGACCTAGAAGGGTGCTCTGTTCCAGTGGACAGAAGAGTGTGAGGAGAGCTTCCATAAGCTCAAAATAGTTTTGACTACAGCCCTAGTATTGATATTGCCTACAGGTTCGGGGTCTTATACTGTCTATTGTGATGCCTCGAGGATTGGCCTTGGAGCGGTATTGATGCAAGATGGTAGGGTAATTGCCTACGCGTCCAAACAGTTGAAGGTACATGAGAAGAATTATCCTGTCCATGATCTCGAGTTAACTGCTGTTATTCACGCCTTGAAGATATGGCGTCATTATTTGTACGATGTTCCTTGTGAAATCTATACGGATCACCGGAGTTTGTAGCATTTGTTCAAGAAGAAGGATCTTAATTTGCGCCAGAGGAGGTGGTTAGAGCTACTGAAGGACTATGATATCACTATCTTGTATCACCCGGGTAAGGCCAATGTGGTGGCCAATGCTTTGAGTCACCGGGCGAAGAGTTTGGGAGTTTGGTTTATTTACCAGCAGCGGAGAGGCCCATGGCGATGGATGTTCAGGCCTTAGCCAGCCAGTTTATAAGATTGGATCTTTCATAGCCCAGTCGGGTTCTAGCTTGCGTGATTTCTCGATCTTCCTTGTTTGATCGTATCAGAGAGAGTCAGTATGCTGATCCTTATTTGCTTGTTCTCAAGGATAAGGTTCTGCATGGTAATGCTAGAGATGTGACCATTGGTGATGACAGGATATTGAGGATGTTGGGTCGGGTATGTGTACCCAATGTTGATGGGCTTCGGGAGATGATTCTAGAGGAGGCCCACAGTTCGCAGTATTCCATCCACCTGGGTGCCGCAAAGATATACCAGGATTTGAGACAACACTATTGGTGGAGGCAGATGAAGAAAGATATAGTTGTGTTTGTAGTTCGGTGCCTCAATTGTTAGCAGGTAGAGTATGAGCAACAGAGACCGGGTGGGTTGCTTTAGCAGATAGAGATCTCGGAGTGGAAGTGGAAGCGGATCACCATGGACTTCGTAGTTGGATTCCCACAGACTTTGAGGAAGTTTGATGCCATTTGGGTGATTGTGGATTGGCTGACCAAGTCCGCGCACTTCATTTTTGTGTACTACCTATTCTTCAGAGCGGTTGACGGAGATTTATATTTGGGAGATTGTTCATCTGTATGGTATTCTAGTTTCCATCATTTCAGACAGAGGTACTCAATTCATATCATGGTTCTAGAGGGCCGTACAACATGAGTTGGGTACTCGAGTGGAGTTGAACATAGCATTTCACCCCCAGACGGACAAACAGTCCAAGCGCACTATTTAGATTCTTGAGGATATGCTCCGTACGTGTGTGATGGAGTTTGGAGGTTCTTGAGATTAGTTCTTGCCACTGGCGTATTTTGCCTATAATAACAGTTATTAGTCCAGCATTCAAATGGCACCATATGAGGCTTTGTATGGTATGCGGTGTAGATCCTCGGTGGGTTGGTTTGAGCCGGGTGAGGCTAGATTATTGGGCACAAACTTGGTTCAGGATGCCTTAGAGAAAGTTAAGGTGATTCAGGATAGATTTCATACAGCCCAGTCCAGACAGAAGAATTATGTGGACCGGAAGGTTCGTGATGTTTCCTATATGGTAGGAGAGTGGGTCTTGCTTCGGGTTTCGCCTATGAAGGGCGTTATGAGATTTGAGAAGAAGGGAAAATTGAGTCCGAGGTTTATTGGTACTTTTGAGGTATTTAGACGTGTTGGGGATGTTGCCTATGAGCTTGTCTTACCTCCCATCTTGGAAGGGGTTCATCCGGTATTTCATGTTTCGATGCTCCGAAAGTATCACGGTGATCCGTCACACGTGTTGGATTTCAGTTCAGTCCAGTTGGACAAGAATCTATCTTATGTTGAGGAGCTAATGGCGATATTGGATAGGCAGGTTCGAAAGTTGAGGCCAAAGAACATTGCATTAGTGAAGGTTCAGTAGTGGGGTAAGTCGATCGACGAGGTGACCTGGGAGACCGAGAAAGATATGTGCAGCTGTTACCCTCATCTTTTCACTACTTCAGGTATGTCTCTATGCTCGTTCGAGGATGAAC